GAGCTACTAGGTGACCTGACTGTTAATCGTGTGTTTGGTAATGTAGCCGCTTATGTATATACTATCGAGTTTCAGAAACGCGGTCTGCCCCATGCGCACATACTTATAATCCTGGAGGAGGATTGTAGGTTCCGCACGGCCGCGGACGTCGACGACGTGGTTTGCGCCTTCTTGCCGGACCCGGCGACCGACAGGCGCTTACACGACTGCGTGAAGTCCCACATGATACACAGACCGTGTGGAACAGTCAACCCGCAGTGTCCGTGCATGGTGAACAACAGCTGCTCAAAAGATTTCCCCAAAGCGTACGCAGAGGAGACTGTGTACGTTGCGGACGGCGGCTATCCAAAGTACCGCCGACCGGACGACGGCCGGGTGGTACTTGTGAGAGGTCGTGAAGTCGGTAACGAGTGTGTAGTGCCATACAACCCTTACCTTCTGGCCAAGTACGACGCGCACATCAACGTCGAGATCTGCACGTCCATAAAGAGCGTCATGTATATCTACAAGTATATATACAAAGGACACGACCGTGTGACATTGGAGGTCGAGGAGGAAGATGAAATCGCCAAGTGAGTCTTGACCTTACATTATAATTATGTAATTTCTAAAATTAAACGTGCAAATATAATACAATATAATACTATATAATGTATACATGTGTATGGTATAATGATTATAATGGTGGATTGTATACTTTGGTGTGTTCAGTGTCAGTGTGTATGAATTATTTAATACTTTTTAGGGCAGTTGTATACATTCACCAATACCTTTAAGTTTTTATACCTTTATATTATGTGGCTTGGTACAAGAAGAGCCAATGCCATATTTTGACAATGTTCAGGAATTCAATCTTAAACTTCATTTTGGAACTCTAAATGTGTTTTTATTTCATTGTAGGACTCTCATTTTGTACGTTTTAGTTTGACATTGGCCACCCAGAAAAATTAATAAAATTACTTTGGTTTTGACTACCATTTAAGAAAACATTTCTACATTTCTAAACTTTCTATTGCATACAGAACTACACATAAGTTAAATAAATAGTTAACTAATTATTTAGTTATATATAGTTAATCTTATAAATCATATTATTAATAAAATATATAATAATAATATGGTATAATGATTGTTATTGTGGATTTTATACGCTTATTTAGTGCATTCAGTGTGTATGAATTATTTATTACATTTTAGGGCAGTTGTATACATTCGACAATACCTTTAAGTTTTTATATTATATTATGTGGTACAAGAAGGGCCAATGTCATATTTTGACAATGTTCAGGAATTCAATCTTAAATTTCATTTTGGAACTCTAAATTTGTTTTTATTTCATTGTAGGACTCTCATTTTGTTGTACGTTTTAGTTTGACATACCTGACTAATCTAACCCAGAGAAATTAATAAAATTACTTTGGTTTTGACTAAAATTTAAAATTTAAGAAATCTTTATAAACTTTCTATTGCATACAGTACTACACATCAGTTAAATAAATCATATTATTAATAACATATATAATTTATACATGTGTATGGTATAATGATTGTTATTGTGGATTTTATACGTTTATTTAGTGTGTTCAGTGTGTATGAATTATTTACTACTTTTTAGGGTAGTTTGCCATTACCATTATATATTCAATGTGTTGTTCAGGTATTATTATATTATGTACTTATACAGAGAGTCCTATAGGTGGTCTACATTAGTACACAGTGGTACCTACATACTATTGATAAATTTTTATTATAGGCATTACTTTAAGTGATTGAAAATTATTAGCATGTAACAATATTTTATGCATGTTTTAGCAGTGTGTCCAGTGTTATTTTACTCACTGCATTTTAGGTTTTTAGGGTAGTTGTATACTTTTACCAATAACTTTTATACTAGCTATATTATATACTTTATATTTAATGTGTTTATTATTATTATTATTATTATTATTATTTTATTTTTTTCATTCAAGCAAAACACTTTTATGGATTCCTATATCTTTGCCATCCTCATATAATATTATACAGTGTTTTATACACAGTCACACAGATAATGTATTGCAGCTGATACAAGTTTTTTTATTTAAGTTTACATTTGATGTGTTATTTTCACAGTACAAAATATAATAGTTATTTAAATTGTAAACTATTATATAATAATATTCAAGCCGTTTTTGTTTTACATGCGTTTCTACAACATTTATTTATCAAAACATATCACAATATATCAGTCATATTAATTACAATTCAATGGTTTTAGGGATTCATGTGCATAATATTTTTCATTGTCAATAATGACACACCGATGGTGTATCTGTTCACTAACAGTCAAAGTAAACAACTGTACGTCTTCGTACAATTTTCAAAAATTAGTTCTTAGTATGGTTAAACGTTTTACTTCAAAATAAATTAAAATTATTAAACACTGTAATATATTATATTGCAATGCAATGTTATGCGTATACAGAACAAAAAAATAAATTAAAGTCACATTAATAATTATAATAAATAAAAATAATAATAATAATGCAACACCAAACGTTATCATCTTATATTGAGCCAGTCAATATATTGTTAGTCATGTTATCAATATTCCTTTTTAGGTACGTCAACTCGAGATACGTCAGCCCGCCAGAAGCCATCTGGCGATTGTTTTCGTACAATTTGCACGGAAAAAGTCACGTGGTCGTCAGGCTTCCCGTTCACCTGGAGGGTCGTCAGAACGTGTACTTTGCGCCGGGCCAAGAAGAAGAACGGCTACAGAACCAAGCCGTACGTCACACGAAACTCACGCAGTTCTTCGCGCTCAACGCGACCAACGTGGAGGCTCGGCAGTACTTGTACCACGACATACCGACGCATTACACATGGCAGCAAAATGTCAAACAATGGCGTCCGCGGGTGAATCGGATGACAAACGTTACATTGGCTCGGATGTACGTAGTCAACCCACTGGACCGGGACCGTTTCCACTTGAGATTGCTACTTCTGAACCGAAGAGGCCCGCAGTCCTTTCAAGACCTAAGGACGGTGGACGGGGTCGTTCACGAAACATTCACGGCGGCTGCGGTTGCACTCGGACTGTTGGAAGACGACCGAGCGTGGCGGGATTGTTTGACGGAATCGGCGACGTTGGACACACCGCGGCAACTGCGGTATCTGTTCGTCACCATACTGGTGTTCTGCGAGCCCTCAAACTCGCTGGCGTTGTACGGCGCGAACGAAGCAAACCTGATGGAGGACTTCAACAGACGACTCCAAGACGTCGACCGCGCGAGGGCCGCGTGTCTGGCAGCCATCGAGGATCTACTTCGTGCGCACGGAAAGTCGCCGGTCGACTACGGTTTGCCCCTGGCCGACCCCCTTCTACTGGAACCACTGCAGCAGGACGATGCGCTGTTCCGAGAAATAGACGCGGCGGCAAGGTGGGCCCCACAAGTGGACGCCTTGAACGCCGAACAGCGAACGGTGTACGACCGCGTGATGGCGGCCGTCGACGACCCGCGCGAGGCGTCGCGAACTTTCTTCGTCGACGGACCCGGAGGTACCGGAAAGACTACGCTGTACGGATGCCTGATATGGTCGCTTCGACACCGACCACAGCCGCGGGAGGTGTTGTGCGTCGCGTACACCGGGATCGCCGCGTCGCTCATGGACGGCGGCATGACGGTGCACTCGACGTTCGGACTGCCGTTCGGCACGCTCACCGAAGACTCGACGTCCACCATCACCATGCAGTCCGAGCGAGCGCAGAAGATACGGAACGCGGCGCTCATCGTCTGGGACGAAGCCCCCATGTCGCCGGGACTGCAACTGACGGTGGCGGACCGCCTGCTCAGGGACGTCATGGTATCGGAATTACCGTTCGGCGGTAAAACCATGCTGTTCGCCGGCGACTTCAGACAGATATTGCCCGTGATCCGGAGAGGGACGAGAGCCGATATCGTCATGTCTTCGATCAAGAAAAACGGTCTTTGGAACGTCATGGAGCGCTTCGATCTGGTACGGAACATGCGCGCGGGCAACGACGCGGACTTTGCGTCTTGGTTGCTTCAGCTCGGCAACGGCCGACTGCCCGCGGTCGACGGCGTTCCGGACACCGTGCAAATCCCGCGGGAAATGGTATGCGACCCCGCCGATTTAATCGATTTCGTGTATCCGCAGCAAATGTCGTTGGCCAACGTCGAAGAATTTGCTCGGAGAGTCGTCGTGTGTCCCACCAACGAAGAGTGTAGGAGTGTCAACGGCGACGTGCTGGAGCGCGTCGATGGTGAAGAGATGACCTACACCGGCGTCGACACCATGATGGCGGACGAGGCCGACGATTGCCAATTTCCCCACAGAGTTCCGCAACGGTTTGGAACCGGACGGCCTGCCGCCGTTCGTCTGCCGTTGAAGGTGGGGTGCATCGTGATGTTGCCAGAATCTCGATCCGAGAGACGACTGTGCA